GCAAGCTTTTAGATAAATTATAAGTGAAACCATGAGTCCCACATACCATTTTCTTTTCTTATTCTTCCTATGCATTTGGATTAATGCAGAATCTGCAGATCCATCGGGCCAGTTCTGTGATGACAGTACTAAAATAAACAGTACCCAAATATCCAAAAACATAGATACCATATTGCCCAAGTTAGTATTAGGCACGTCTCAATACGGGTTCATTAAAACCTCGTATGGTAAAGGAGAATCGCAAATCTACGGCCTGGCACAATGCAGAGGAGACGTAAGCAGCGAAGACTGCTCGACTTGCATCCAAGATGCAGCAAACGAAATCCGTAAGCGCTGTCCAAACCAATCTGATTCTAGAATTTGGTATGAATATTGCTTTTTGAGGTATAGTACAAGGAATTTCTTCGGACAAGTTGATACAGGTTTTGGAATTTACTATTACAATGTTCAGAACGTGACAGATCCTGATCCTGATACATTCAATAAAGAACTAGGTGCCCTTATGGATAAGATTAGTTCAGAGGCTGTCGTGCCAGCAAACAAAGGGCTCGGAAAAGCAAAGACTGTACTTACACCTTTTAATACACTTTATGGCTTGGTGCAATGCACTAGGGATCTATCAAAGCAAGGTTGTGCCGAGTGCCTTGCCATTGCCATAGGCAACCTTCCGACGTTTTGCAACGACAAGAAAGGGTGTCGAGTTTTATACAGCAGTTGCTACCTTCGATACGAGCTTTATCCCTTCTACTTTCCTCTTGATTCACAGAAGTCCTCAGTTGGTGCCTCTATGAATTATCATTCATACACAGTCTATAAACATTAATATGTAATATTGCATCGGTTTTCAGTGTTAGTGTATTACTCATTTGCATTTTCGAACCTTCTATTTTCGAGTACTTAGTACTTACATGTACAATATGCGTGGATCAGACGAGGACACTGGACTGCTTCCACAAATTACTTGTGTAAAATATATAATCACTACATGTGTTTTTATTTAAATAAAAGTGGTGAGGATCTACCATTTATGAATACTAGTATGTGACACGTTGTACTACGTATAACAATATTTGAGATTTTTTTTTTTCAAAATTTATATAGTTAAATAATGTAATATATAGAGTGTGATTTGTTATTTTATATTTTTTTCTATTATTTTTTAGCAAAACCTATTTCGCCAAAAACTTCTGGTAAAGGGAGATCATAGTCCGGTGGTACAGAGGGACAAATGCTGATGTTTTAAATACCAAGCCTAGTTAATTGATCCTTTCAAGGATTTTATATTTCTATTGTCTACCGAACACTACGTGTCTAGGTCCAAGGTTAAATATGTTGTCAAATTAATGATCCAGTAGGATCAAAAGATAGAAAATCAAGGAAGAAATTAAGAAAATGAGATGAAATGAGATATGTCATAGCAAATTTTGTACCCTGGATATGTCTGTTTTCCAAGATACAACACTTCTTCTAAAGTTAGTATTGCGCTACTCCAACCTCGTCGATCAAACCAAAATATTGACAATATTTCTCTTTTTTAATGGAATAAAACTCGAATTTTAAGTTGATCAAATAGAATTCGTATTTCTAAAAAGATAATTCGACCAAAATTTTATTTCAAAAGTAACTCGGACAAAATTTTATAACGATATTTAGAAAATCAATTTATCTTTCGCAATTGATAACGAGTAGACTAGTCAATGGGTTTCTTGAGTGATCATGTATGTGTGAAAATTGTTAAAGATGGGCGAGCATGTAGACACATTTAGTAGAGATGCATCATGCTATTAGTTTTCAAATTAATATTTAAAGCAAAGAAATTAACAGTGCATAACTAAAAGATTGTAAAGAATTTTGCAGTCATGTCATTCAGTCATTGTAAAGAATTTTTGTCTTGTTTTCAATATTCCTTTTGACAATCAAATTTTCTGCCCATTTTGTATTTTTTTTTTTAATCTCATTTAACATATAGTTAAAAAAAATTATTATGCAAATATGTACAAGACACAGAACCCATTATAAAAATAATGAGTATTTTTCGGATACGTATCAACAGGGATCTATTTTTCGTTATAAGAAAGAAAATATTAAGGTTCCTTGTACATTCAGTTTGAATAAGGGATTTTGTGAGTTGTGAGTACAACTATAAGTTGTCCTTAATCACATATTTGTTGGATTTGGGCCTGGTGTCTTACTATTCATTTGATCCTCATCCTTTGTTGGGCTGGTTTTACTTGGGCTGATTATTTGTCTTTGGAAATATTAGGCCAGTACCCTTTTTGGGAAGAGAACAAAAGTAAGGGATTAACTATAGAGGAAATTACACCTACACCTGCTTTTAGATTTCTATTTTCACAAATCATATCACAAATTTAAATTTTCAAAAATCAGGTTTTTTATATTTTCAAATCAAACCTAAAAATCATTCCTCCCCTCCTGCCCATTTCTTCTCTCCTCTCCATCAGGTTCTCTCCTCCCCGTATCCATGCCGCCACCACGACCTTTCTTCCCGTCATCGTTCATTTCTCCCGCCACCACCGTGTCTCACATGACAAAACTCGAAGCGGTGCTTGAAGCGGCGAGGCGTTCCTCCATTTCTCTCTCTCTCCGGCGATTGTTGTAACGACCCGGGTCCTACTTAATGGGCTGTCTCGGCCGTTAGATCGACGACGTACTGTCCCCATTGTACCAACATGTGTTTTTTCAACATGCTTTGTCCTCATTCGCACGCTCCCTGAGAAAACTTCTCAGGGNCTGTCGTTAGATCGATGACGTACTGTCCTCACTGTACCAACATGAGTCTTTTCAGCATGCTTTGTCCTCACTCGCACGCTCCCCGAGAAAACTTCCCAGGGGGTCACCCATCATAGAATTGCTCCAAGCCAAGCACACTTAATTGTGGAGTTTTTAATGATGGACTTTCGAAAAAGAAGGTGCACCTTATTGCTATGAGTAGTACCTATCAAATCTTTTTAAGTTTTCCTGGTCTGGATATTATAATCACCCCCCTTAGACTCGCGACGTCCTCGTCGCGCTTGATACATATGAGGATCCGTTGCCAGGCGTTGAGATTCTAGAGGTGGCTCCTACGGATTCAAGAGGTGACTCCCGCCCTATGGCGTAGCACTTTGTCATGCATAGCACTTAGTTCCCGATTTTCGGCTGGCAATCAGGCTCTGATACCATTTGTAACGACCCGGGTCCCACATAATGGGCTGTCGCTGCCGTTAGATCGATGACGTACTGTACCAACATGTGTTTTTTCAGCATGTTTTGTCCTCACTCGCACGCTCTCTGAGAAAACTTCCCAGGGGGTCATCCATCATAGAATTGCTTCAAGCCAACACGCTTAACTGTAGAGTTTTTAAAGATAGACTTCCAGAAAAGAAGGTGTACCTTGTTGCTATGAGTAATACCTATCAAATCTTTTTAAGTTTTCCTAGTCTGGGTATTACAATTGAAGGTTTCACTTCTCTGGCGCCTCCGAGATCTTGCCGACCCATCGCATCCGTCGTTCAAACCATCGGCGTTTTTGGCCGGCAACTTCACAGAAGCCATGACCCATGTCATGGAAGCCGTTAACCTTAAAACCGCCAACCATGTTCTGTTTTCCAATCTATCCGCCGCCTCTGCCTCGCTTCCCAGAACCAACTGTCTGTCCTTTTTTGTTTTCAATTGAGCGGTGTGGTGGAGGTGGTGCGATGGTTATGTTGGAGGATGCAGATCTTTTTTTGTAGTGGGTGCGGCGGTGGTAGTGGATGCAGATCTATTTTTTGGTAGGTACGGCGGTGGGTGTGTGCGTGTGGCGGCGAAATGGTCGTAAATGGTGCAGTGACGTGGTGTGTGTTGTAGTTCGGGCGTTGCGGATTGGTGGTCGTGGTTATTTTGTGCGGATGACAGTAGGTGATGTACGTGGAAGGCTATTGTTGGCGGGGAATCGATTGGTGGCAGATCTGCTGTTGGTTGTTTTGGGCTGATGGATGGTGGTTTGGGTGGTTTGTGTGCTGTGGTGGTGATAGTGGAGTTTAGGTGTGTTTCTGTGGGCGACGATGGTGGAGAAGCGGTGATGGTGGTGGTGCCGCTGGTGGAGGCAGTGCCGAATTGGTGGTCATAAATGATTTGGTGGTGGTGAGAAATGATTTGTTGTTTGCGACCAATAATTTGGTTTGTTTTGTGACCAGTGAATTAAATAACTGTGATCAATAC